CTCTTTGTGAGCCATGTTCTTGAAGCTGGTCTTGCAGGCATAACCCTGGGTGGCAACTGCACTGGAAATTAAATTAATTAAAGAAATTAAATAATTGATCAAAGATCTGGAAGTGATTGGGTGAATGGAGATTTAAATTCAGATCTGGTCTGGGCTCAGTGACCCACACCTATAATCCCAGCACTTTGTGAGGCCAAGGTGGGAGAACTGCTTGAGCCCAGGAGTTCAAGACCAACCTGGGCAACATAGTGAGATTCTATCTCTACAAAAATAAAATAAAAAATATATTATCCAGATCTGCTTTTGCCTCTATAGCATCTCTTCTTGGATGTTCTAGAGAAGTCTTCTGGCCACACCCATATTTCCTATTTCAGAGACAGGAAGCTATACAGACCACATGGTCCCACCCTCCAGGCTACAGATGACTGGACCAAAGGGAAACACCTGATACAAGCTGAACCAATCAGATTTCCTTATCTGGAACTTGGACTTTGGACACTGAAAGACAGATCCAGATAGCCACAGAGTATGGAGATGAGGGCCCCATAAGCTCTAGGGCCGGGACAGCTATGATGGGTTGTGTGGGACATTAGAAGGAGCCAGCATAAAGAGAGAAAGAATAAAGAAACAGGTGTGCAGAAAATAGCATATCTGAGTATCCGTGCCCTTTTGAGAGCTCAAGAGACACAGCAAGTAGCTGAGCCTTCCGGTCATTGGATACCATGAGATTTCCTACATTTTTAAAAACTTCAGCTGAATGAACCTGTTTGTTTCTGCCCACCACAGATCCCTGAATAAAACAAAATCTAGACAACACAAGAGACCTTCAAGAGGGCATGTTCATGAGATGGGTGAGGATGTTATAAGCAGATGAAAAGACTTGGGGTGTCCATGGATTTCTTGGTAATATCTCTGCCTAGCCACTTTAAAGAGACAGAGCTAGGCCGAGTGTGGTGGCTCACGCCTGGAATCCCAGCACTTTGGGAGGCCGAGGCGGGTGGATCACGAGGTCAGGAGATCGAGACCATCCTGGCTAACATGGTGAAACCCCATCTCTACTAAAAATACAAAAAGTTAGCTGGGCGTGGTGGCAGGCGCCTGTAGTCCCAACTACTTGGGAGGCTGAGGCAGGAGAATGGCTGTGAACCAGAGAGGCGGAACTTGCAGTGAGCCAATATCCCACCACTGCACTCCAGCCTGGGGGACAGAGCGAGACTCCATCTCAAAAAAAAAAAAAAAAAAAAAAAAAGAGACAGAGCTAAGATATTGTGCAGCCAAGGGAGAGTGAAGGCAGAAAGGTGTCAAAGCACAGGGCTGCAAAATGAAAGATGCTTCATTAGGGGTTTGGCATCTGCTTCTTAAGAAAAGAAGAGGAGCACGGCTCAGGCCTTCCTCCTCCCCGCAGCTTCACCACTAATAAAGGCAGCTGGGTGATGAGTTTCTGTATCTGGCAAATCTACTTCATTTTTCGTCCCTCTGTCGACTGCAATGTAAGACAGCTCAAGAAGAAATTAATACTCGGAGTCAGTGTCAGCTCCACTGACAGCAGATCAAGGCTGAAAGACAAATTGCTCATCACAGTTCAGGGAGCCGGAGCTGGGAGAAGACAGACTTGTCATTCCCTGCGGGAGCTCCAGGCAGCTCCCACTGGTGGCTAACTACGAGGGACCCATCCTGGCTTCTGCCTACCTGTGAAGTTTGCAGGGAGCTTCAAGGGACTGGTCCTGGGGGAACAGCTTGTTGGACATCCTTGGGGCCCCTTAATGACCCTGTATTTGCAGCATGTCACCATGTCACTGGTATGACGAAGCCTAATGCCCTAGAAAAGCTATTTCTGTGCATCACTTATCACGGCTCATTCCAAGTCATGGATTCTCAATTTTCTTTATGACACCTTGACCACTTGGCCATGAAGGATATTGTGTTTTGTGGGTTGAGTTCTGCACAAGCTCCTGACCAAACATTGAGTGGGGGGCTGATATCCAGCCCTTGCTAAACCATGTGCCCTGGCACGGGGCTGAATCCATTTGGAGAGAGGGTGGCTTTTTCTAATTTGCACAGAGGTGCTGCTTAGATTAATGAAGTCCTGGCAACATTGTATTGTAGAGCTATGGGCTTATTTGTTTATGGTCTGTGTCCCCTAGGTAGAATATTGACTCCTAGAGGACAAGGACTGTGCTGAAAATATTCCATTTGCCCCTTCAGAGCCACTTGCCACCCTTCTCCTCTCTGCTCTGTGCCCCAGGAGAATGGCAAATTAATGACCTCCCTTGCTCTCCAGCCTCCAGTTGGATTCAGCCAATAGAAAACACTGCTAGGAGATCAAAGGTGATATGGTTTGGCTGTGTCTCCACCCACATCTCATCTTGAATTGTGGCCCCCATAATTCCCATATGTTGTGGGAGGGACTTGATGGAACATAATTGAATCATGGGGGCAGTTTCCCCCATACTGTTCTTGTGGTAGTGAATAAGTCTCAAGAGATCTGACGGTTTTATAAAGGGAAACCCCTTTCATTTGGCTCTCATTCTCTCTTGCCTGCTGCCATGTAAGACGTGCCTTTTGCCTTCCACCATGATGGTGAGCCCAGCCACGTGGAACTATGAGTCCATTAAACCTCTTTTTTAAAAAATAAATTACCCAGTTTCAGGTATGTGTTTATCAATAGCCTGAAAACAGACTAATACAAAAGGGTAAGGGGAGAGAAAGGTTGGAGTCTCTGTTCCCAGTCTCATTTTTGCTACATGGACTTGGTTGGTTATGATTCTCTGGTCCTGGCTACTGTCACATGGCATCTCCCTACCACCAACCTCTTCACTGCCAGTCACTGCTCCCCCTCTGTGCCCTTTCAGGGTGGTAACAGCTCCCTGCTGTTGCTAGCCCCAGGGGACTGCACTATCTCTTCTAGGGGGATCTTTGCAAACAGTCTGTGCAAATAGTCCCTTTATTCAACTCCTCCTCCAATTCCCAATTTGAGTGCACCATCTCTTTCCTACTCAGAGCCCAGTTAAGATATAGAGACATTGCTTGGTTCATTGCTGTGTCCCCAGCTCCTAGAAGAATGTCCAGCACAGAGCAACCACTAACCATTCAACCATTTATTTGTTGAATGAATAAATTATGATCCCTGAAGGTGGCAAGCCTTGGTTTTTTTATTGTTTTGTTAAGGACTCACTGGCATCCTCTTTATTCAGCCTTGCAGCTTGGCTGTTGGAAATCAGTCACGAAGGCCATTCCTCCCACCTCATCTGTCCATGTTCGGGAGTCCTCAAACCTCCCTGTTCTCATTTATTTCAGATAACAATTAGACCCTGTCGGAAAAATTTTTCTTCTGCTTTTGCCCTGGGTAGTTTGCAGGGGTGGAAGGAAAAATAAGTGATACCCTCAGAAAAGCATCCTTTTTGATTTCTGAAAACCAATGTTTTTCCTGCCATTCTTCTTTTCTTTACACCCATTTGTCAGAATCAGTCTCCTAAATTAGTGCTAGAGGCTGCTTGCTGACCAGGGTAATTCCACTCATAAAAAAAAAAAAAAAAAAAAACAAACAAACAAAAAAAAACAACCAGTAACACAGTAAGCCCTCCAGAGCTGTTTAGTCTGGGGAGCCATGGTGCCGTTGCCCCAAAGGTGCACGTCTTTAGGGGTAGCTGTCTGAGGGCTGCTGGGCATAATGACCAGGTGGCAGCATTCCAGTCCTGGAAAATGTGTAGTATTTTCTCTCCAGGGTTTTGCAGAAATGACGCTGTCAGATAAAACAATGATTTAATGGCCACATGACAGGAGCCTTGAGACTAATGGTACCCAACTCAGAAAAATGTAGGAGACAACTGGAAGGCAATTACGAAACAGTCCGTGCCTACAACTCAGTCATTACCAACCGAGCATTGCGAGGAAGCCTCTCTCCTTTGGAAGGTCAAATTCTTATGGTTCCAAGTGGTTGGGAGCAGAGCCGGTGCTGGAAAACACAGGGTGGATATTTCTATGGAGAATTCTCCAGAATCGTGTACGTCACACAGAGCACTCCATCCTCCTCCCCTCTTCTCCCCCAGCTCTGTCTCTCTCTTTCTCTCTCTCTCCCTCTGTCTCTCTCTTTCTCCTCTCTTTCTCTCTCTCTCTCTCTCTCACACACACACACACACACACACTCCAATTTAAATGATTCAGCTCTTCCACTTTCCAAACCCAGTCCTCACAAAGCTTTGTTTACGCAGGCTAGGCAAAGTGATATTACCTACTTGACAAGTAGCTTTTGATTAAAAACACTGAACTCTGCCCGAGTAATTGTGCCACACACATGAAAATCATTTGAGGGCCTGAAGAGAAGTTCCTCTTTGCCCCCAGGAAACCTGAAATATTGTGTTTTTCTAAACAACAACAACCAAAAAAACCCCTCTGTCTTACATGGTTTGAACAAAACTTACATCTGTGCATTCTAGCATTTGCTAGATTTTTCTATAATGAGAATGTGGGCTATTTTCCAAACATTATCTTTTTTATGACAAAGTCATAAATTCACTCATTTGTGTTGCTAAAAGGACAAGTGCCATACATAAAAAAGCACAAATTTCTCTTAACTCTCACCCACTGCCCATCTCCCAGCTCCAGAGGCAAATGCTTTTATATATATGATGTGATTCCTCCTACCCCCTTTTTCTATAGGTATGAATGTGTATATATATGAATCTTCACACATTTTATTTTAAGGATTATTTTGTTTTTCGTAGATGGGATTATACCATATGTATTTATTTCACAACTTCTAAAAACTTAAATGTCTTAGAGATCTTGGAGATGTTGGGATCAGCACATAAAAATTTACCTAATTGCTGTTAACGGCTGCCTCAAATTCCATAGTGTTACTGAATCACAGTTTATTTCCCTAGGTCCCCTCTGACGCACATTTCAGGTTACTCTTAATGTCTCACGATTACATGCAACGCTATAATAAAATACTTGTGCATTGCCTATTTGGGCACATAAGCCCCCATTTCTATGTGGGAGAGATAATTATATCAGTTAAGATACTTTTGGCTGCACATAAAAGAAGATCCCAGTGGCTAAGCAATAAGGGTTTTATTTTCTCATGTTAAGGTGAACTCTGAAGGTTAGAGCAACACAAAGATGGTTAATTCAGCAGCTCAATGTCTTCATCCTGGAGCTAGGCGCTTTCTTTCCATCTTTCTGTTCTGCTTCTCTCAGAGAATTGGGAATGCCTCCCCGAGGGATCACAGGATGGCTGGAGATGTTCTAGGCGGCATGTGCAGACATGCCTCTTCAGCAGTCCTCGGATCTCCTTGGCCAGGATTGAGCTGCAAACTCACACATACACCTGCCACTGGCAAGAGGAATGAGATGACCATGACTGTCATGGACTGATTGTGATTCCTTCTCTTGTTCTTGGAAGAAGAAAGTGAGAGGAAACAGATTTTATTAATCAAATAAACCTCCAGAAAATTTGTCCCAAATCACAGCCTACTTGAATATCCAAGTACCAGTTACTTCACATCTTCATCCACCCTTTAATAAGGCATTTAACTTTCTGCCAGTGTGATGGGCAAAGAGGACATCTTGTTGTTTTCTTGTACTTACCTGATTGTCAAGATTGAGGATCATCTATGTATATTCATTGTTTATTTATATTTTCTCTTTGGAGAGTTACCTATTTGTATTATTTGCCCTATTTTCTCTTAGGCAGTTTGCTGCCTTTTCATTGATTTGCAAAGTTTCTATATGTACCTCTTGGAAACACATATAATCAAGACATTTTAAAAGGTTCTCAAGAATAAACACTTAAATTATGTATCTTTGTTCTTACTTTGATTCTCAAGTGCTTCTGTAACAGTTTGGGGAGCAGAAGAAAATCCATTTCATGGAATAGGTTGTGGTGACATGGTTTCTAAATGGTGTGCTTCAGAACAAAAGTTCCTAGACAGATGTTAAAATGCAATTGGAAAACACTGCATAAAATCTCCTACTTTTAGAGTGTCGCCATGTACAAACAGCATAGGGATCAGCTCTGTTTTGATCATCACCACTACCTTCCTTGTGAGCTCATACCATCATTTGCCCTCTCTGAGTCTTACTTCACTCATTGTAAAATAGTCCCCCCTCTTGGCTCTTCCCATGCTCACGCACATTCGTGGCTTCCCACAGTAGCACCTGTGGCTCTCTGTCTGTGGTCTGGGGCAGTTCATAAGGGACAAGAAGGCAATGCCTTAAGGAGCATCCCTCTACCAATGGCAGACAAATGATAACAGATAAGTACCTGAGTTGCCTTGCCTTCAGATGCAAGAACTCTGAGACATCTTCGATATCAAGAGTCAACAAACTACAGTTCACCAGCCAAATCTGGCCCACAACTTGTTTTTATAAATAAAGTTATATTGGAAGACAGCCACGCCCATTTCTTTACATATGGTCTATGGTTGCCTTCATACTACAAGGGCAGAGTTGTACAAGCGACTGTACACCCCCCAAAGCCTAGTATTTATGGTGTGGCCCTTTCTAGACAAGTTTGCTAACTCCAACTCTGTATTATTCCCCTGTGGTGCCAGCAGGGTTGAGCCCCAAGTTGCCCATAGTGGTCACCTGCTTGCTCATTAACACACCTTCCTGTCCTTGTCCCACTCTCCTATGGGGGTTTCCCAGGATCACCTCCCAAATACACTACTTGTGCTCACAAAGCTGTAACATGCTAGACTTAGAAAAGAAGTCTAGGCTTAGAAAAGAAGCAAGTAGAGTGGGAAATGGCAGGGGACTGTAGACCATGGTGAGTCTGAGCCCCTGAGCCCCAGACCCAAGGCATCTTTAGGGTTAGCCCCCCCACCTCCCATCACTTCCACAAATCACCACCAAGACACAGGCATGCACACATGCACACACATACACAGAGCAAGCTTGCCATTCATTTGGGTAGTGGCTTTGCACACATTACCATTAGTGGCTGATAAACTGAAAACTAAATGGAAAATGCAAATGGAAGACAAAGATGCTTTTCTCTTCTCTGCATCAAGGAAAACACCTTGACTCCTGGCCGGTGTGTGACCGCATGAAAGAAGTAGACTTTCTCCAGAGGGAAATATGTCTGTTTAGTCTGTAATGATGCATGTTTTCATGTATAAAATAAATAGGTCATCAAATATCTCTCCTAAGGGGGGAAAGGCTCCTAACATCTCACTGTTACATGTAATGCTACCATAATGCCACTCTCAAATCACAGAGGACAAGGCTTCAATATACCTCACATCTTCCCGCCTCCCGGCATTTGCACAGGCCATTCCTGCTGCCCAGACCATTCCCTTAATAAACACACTTTTGTCCTTTTTGGGGTCTGTTTAGATACCACTTCCCCAAAGACACCTTCCCTAATCCTCCCTGCAAGTTCTCCCCGTCAGTAAGCAGATCAGGGCCCTATAATACTGTGTTTGTTGTGCTTACTAAATGTATCTATCCTGGTACTCACTATAATAACTAAATAAATGTTTGTTTAATGTCTTTCTCTCCCACCAGTCTATACATCACATCTCTCATGTTTACAGTCATAGCCCCAGTGCCTGACATTTACTGGATAATCAATATATTTTTTAAATAGATGAATCAGTGAATGGGTGAATGAGTGAATGAATGGACACATGAATGAATGTGGATGGACCCCTCAGAGAATCCAGTGGCCATTCTTTCAGTATAATTATGCCAAGATGAGTTCTTTGATGACCAAAAGAAGCTCTCTGCTTCTCAAATTCTAATCTGCAAGAGGAATCACTTGGGAATCCTTGTGGAAATGCAGATTTGAACTCAGCAGCTCGAAGTAGGGCTGATACTTGCTTTTCTGACAAGCCCCCAGGTGACACAGATGCTTCTAGTTCCCGAGCCACACTTTGAGTAGCAAAGGAGTTAGATGATCTTAAGCAAGAACAGTGGCAGGTGCATTTATTTTTAAAGAGCTCATTCCTTTTGTCTTCACTGACATTTATTTTTACAAAAGTTCTAAAACGCAGCAATGCTTCCAGGCGGGGCAGCCACGCCACTTGGCTTAATTTCCTGCTGTTTAACCTCAGGCCAACTAGTCAGACCTCAGTATACATTCAGAATTTTGTGTGATGCCATTTCTCATTTTGGATTAGGTCTTGACCACATTCCTCAACAAAGCACCCAGTTCTGCATGACTTTACTTTTTATAAAAGGTGAGGGGAGGATGTGAGGATGCTGAGATGAACCAAATTCAAGACGCATCAGAAAATGGACTCTTACCCACATGGCTCTGAGGCTATTCTGAGTTCCTCTAAGCCACAGTGGGACCAGCAGCACCTGCTGTCACCATTCATGCCAGTGTGACTTCTTTTTCCAAGTATGTGTCTATGTATATGTGTGTGTATGTCTTTTCTTAAAACACCATCCACGTCTGGGTGCTTTCAGTACTCAGGATATTCTGAGCTGCAGATCCTGAGGACTTCAACACTAACCATCAAATTGCTGAAATACCAGACAAGGCCTCAATGTCTTAGGCATAATATAACATGGATATAATGTTAGAACTTGGGCTGTAGCCTCAGAATGATCTGGATTGGAGAGCTACCACCCATACCTCATAGTTATGTGCGTTTGGGCAAATTACTTGTCCCTCTTGGGCCTCAGTTTCTGCCTCTGCACAATGACAGCAATAATAACCTCTACCCAAAAGGGCTGTTGTGAATGTCAAACAGAAAAATGCATGTAATGTGCATGCCGCGGAGTAATGTGCATGTAACGTGATACTGCGGTGTCTGGCACCTAGCAAACGAGAGCTATCGTTATCAGTGTTATTACTGTTGTTGTTGGTACTCCTACAGAAAGCTAAAAGAATTTTGTTGTGTAGGTTGACAGTGCTTTCCTGTATTAGAATTAGGGAAGGTCAGCCAGGCGCGGTGGCTCCAGCCTGTAATCCCAGCACTTTGGGAGGCCGAGACGGGCGGATCACGAGGTCAGGAGATCAAGACCATCCTGGCTAACACGGTGAAACCCCGTCTCTACTAAAAAATACAAAAATCTAGCCGGGCAAGGTGGCGGGCGCCTGTAGTCCCAGCTACTCGGGAGGCTGAGGCAGGAGAATGGCATAAACCCGGGAGGCGGAGCTTGCAGAGATCCAGCCACTGCACTCCAGCCTGGGCGACAGAGCGAGACTCCGTCTCAAAAAAATTAGCGAAGGTCCAGTATCTTTTTCTTCCCTCTGAGCCCTGTAGAAATGCTTGGTCTGAAGTGGCCACCTTCTAGAAGCCTTCTGCAGTGGGGTCCCGCAGCGTACCAGTGAGTCGTGTGGCATATCTGAGTGCTCGAGACAGCTGTGCATTCTACTGGTTTGCTCCCCTGTGCAATTCGGTGTGCAATATTGCAGAGGTCAGGGGTCAAAACCCAGGACAGGGCTCTGGAAGTATTCAGCTATCTGTGATTATAAGACCAGCCAACTCAGGCCCCCTCAATCATAAGTAACATAAACCCTTTCAGAGATCAAGAGAGGGGGATTTATTCTAGAAACAAGGGGTGTCCTGTGGAGTTCAGAGGTAGGAGCTGCTGTGGGACCTCCTAGTGGAGTGGTCCCAGGACCTAGGATATCATTGGCCTAAGATATCCATCACTTCATCTTCCCCCAAATCCACCCTCCCTACCCCAGCAGACATGGAAGAGGGTGCAGCTACTTACGGAGACCCTGTTTCTCTGAGAACTGCCTCCCACTGGACTGTAGCCAACTTTGAACTAAGTGACACAGCTCCACTCTCTTCACCTCTGCTGTGAAGAGAAGTGGACACTTGACCCAAGCTGGACCAATAAGGTTCTTCCCTGAGAGTTTGGAATTAAGGCTGAATTAGTCCTGGCTGGTTTTCTCATCTGTAAAATGGTGATAATAATAGTAACATTTTTCTAGTAGAGTTGTGATGGAGATCAAATGAGAGATGCCATGTCAAGTTCTTACCCAACACAGGGCGCATAATAAGCACTCAATAAAATGACTGTTGTGATCATTGTTATCCCCAATACCAAACACCATAGCATAAGGCCTAGCACAGAGTGGTGCTCAATAAATATTCATGGGATGAATGAATCAATCAATCCAGGAATGCCACAGGCTGCAATCAGCCATGCGAGTTGATGCTCAACCATAGCACTGCATGGACCACATGTTTGTACAAAACCTCTCTCTGGAGAACAGTAGACTTTGCCTCCTAAACAAAACCAAGGTGAACATCCTGACCCTGGGTCTCCTGTTTGTGAGGTGCAAGTGCTATATAACAGTTCTGTGGCCAGATGCGGTGGCTCATGCCTGTAATCCCAGCACTTTGGGAAGCCAAAGCAGGAGGATTGCTTGAGACAAGGAGTTTGAGATCACCCTGGGCAATATGGCAAGAATCCATTGCTACAAAAG